TGAGTTGGGAGTTGGTGGATGGGAGAGAAGAGAGACCTGATCACTCTGGGAGCTTTCCAGAATTAATCCTACCCAGGCCCTTTGCCAAGCTAGGAGTCCACACTTGGGCTGTACTAGCAGAAGACTGGAGGGGAGGGGGCTGGGGGTGGGGTGGGGTGGGAGGTTCTCTTTCAGAACAGTCATTTTCATAGAAACCTCTCTACTCAATTCCTCCTACCAGGATCCTAGGCCTGACTCTAGGTATCTACCCACCCGCTCCTGTTTTCAACTTCTCGGCTCCCTTGTCCTTCCTTCTCTCTCAATTTCCCCTTTCTCTCCTAAGCTTCACCTACCCTGAGCAGCCCCACCCAGCTGTGCTGGCCACATCCCATAATAGTCAGCCTTCCCCCCCCCAGTCTCCCCCCTCCAAAAAGAGGCGGTCATCCTATAATAGCCACCCACAGGAGACATTCCGCGGTGACCGCCCCCTCCCTGCGGAGCTGCCGGGAGCCGCCATCCCATAATAGTTGTCTGCCTGTTTTACTGGTTACTGCTGTGAAGGGAGCTGGAGAGGAAAGAGAGGGGAGGAGGGATAAGGAGCAAGGGTCTCCCCTGGGGGAGGATCGTAGAAAGCTTAGGCTGGGGGTGGTGACAGGTAGAGGAGAAGGATGTACAGGTGTGGGGAGCGACACGCTGTCCCCCATTACCTTGGAATGGGATTCCCAGCCACCCACCCTAGAGGTGGCGACATGTCAGAGAAACTACTGGGGCAGCTTAAAAAGAAGAAAAACCGAGGTGTTTGGAGGAGGGGGATTGGTTATCAGGTGTTCCCCCAGGAAGACAATGGTTTGAGTGAAAGGGTTGACCTTAGAGAGTGAGGGGGGAGGGGCAAAGAAAAGCTTTCTTATCCTCCCCACTCTGCATCATCATCCCATAATAATCCTTCAACCCCACTCCCCCTCCCACACACACACCATCCCATAATATTTCCCAGAGAGGCAGTCCTGCAGTAGGTACAAAGAAGCATCCCATAATAAGCTTCCCTACCCCACCCATTCCACTCACCAGGCTACCCCCCCCTCGGTCACATGCAGTCGGTGCCAACTCCCCCCTGCTCCCCCCTCTGGCCACCAAAGGCCTTGCCAGCCCATAATACTCCTTCCTCCCCCTTCCTCCCCCCTTCCCACCCCGCACCCCTTCCTCCTGCCTCCAGTTGGATCTGAGCCTCACCAGCCCATAATATTGGCCAGTCTCCTAAGGCTGCTCCAGCCCATAATACTCTCCATGTCTCCTAAGGCCTCTCCATCCCATAACATTGCCAGAAGCCTGACCTGTGGGCCAAATCCCAAGTCTGTTCCACACATCTCAGCTGTGTCAGCACTGGTCTCTCTCTCTCTCCCTCCCTTCCATCTTTCCTCAATCTAGCTCACCCTTTTCCAGACTCTTTCCAAACCTTTTGTCCCAGACTGCTTTCCCCCCTCTCCCCACAAATCTCAACCTGTCTGGATGCCTTGGTCCTGGATACATCTCTAATGTCCTTCATTGCCGTTTCTCCCTAGTCTGGTTCCTCTCCTTTTCATATATATGTATATATATATAATACACACACACACATATATATTATATATGTATTTCCTGGAACCCTCAGGAAAGTAAAATTACACCAGAAGGCAACAGGGCATTAACCTTGTGGCTCACGGAAAAACCTGCATTTCAGGGAGAGAAGCTGCTACCTCTAAAACTTTCCCTAATGACCTGACATTACAATAATTTGCTTGGCCTGCTTTCCACACTCTGTTCCCCAAGCCTGAATCCCCAGTATCAGATACCCCCTTTTTAAGTAGAGGAAGCTCTAGTTTTCCCCCAGAAATACTTGCTTGATCATCCGCAAATTTCGAGGTATCAAGCATGGGTACCTTTAGGATTCCCAACCCTTTGCAAATATACTTTTTCTTTGACGGCCTCAATCTGTCTCCTACCCCTAGCTGAACAAGGCAAGCCACCCTTTCACCATCACTTCTGCAGGGTATCATTTGTTCACAATGCATAGATACATCTTGGGGTAGAAAGACCTAGTGTAGTGGAATGACCTTGGGGTTTAGGGTCAGCCCGGGTTTGAATCTCATCTCTATCACTTCCTATGTGGCCTTGGACAAATTGCTTAACCTTTACAAGCCTTAGTTTCCTTATCTGTAAAATGGGCATAGAATCCATAGAATCATTGTGAGAATCAAGTGAGATAACTTATGGAAAACTTCTCAATAAACAGGAACTACTATTAGCTTCAGTAAAGTTCAGTCTTCTTTGTCAGGCATTCAAAGCCTTTCACAATTTAGCGTCACCATATCTTTCCAGGTATAGCTCACAGAATTTCAGATCCTCAGAGTATACCTAGGCTTACTTATCTACCTGAAAAGAATTCCCTCTACAGCATACCCAACAAGTAGTTATCTAGCCTTTGCTTAGAAATCTCTAACAAGGGAGGAACTTACTACTTCCAGGGCAGACCATTCCACTTGAAAACAGCTCTGATAGCTAGAAATTTTGTCCTTATGAGACTAAATCTGCTCGTCTGCAGCTTGAACCTTTACTCCTCATTCTGCCCTATGAAGCGGACAGAACCAAGTCAGTTACCTCTTCCACAAGACAGTTCTGAAAATACACAAAGACAACTATTACCTCCCCTGTCCCCACATCTCTTTTCCAGGCTGAACATCTTGGTTCCTTCAATGAATCATTATACACATGCACTGGACCACTAAGTAATACTTTCCTCGAGCTTTTGTTCAGCCTGTTCCTAATACTTGTAATGTTTTCCCTTCCCCTCTTACCTATTGAATAGCTCCATCCTGATTTTAAAATCCAGCTCAAATGGCTCCTCTCTTTGAAGCTTTTCCCACTCTCCTCAGAGTTCTTGATTTGGTTTTGTCCCTTTCAAATGCACTTCTAGTGTGTTATAGTTATCTGTGTGTGTATGCATACATATGTATATATTATATCTATCTATCTATCTATCTTATCCTTGTTATTATATTGTAAGGTTCCTGAAGACACTGTATTTACTGAACTTTGCATATTCTCTAGCATCTAACATTGTCATCTTTGTACAGAATGTATTTAAACATTTGTTGAATGGATTAATGAAGAAATAATTTTCCTCAAATTTTTACTTCAAAGAAAAGGTACTTTTATTCTTTCCTTATTTTAGAGAACATAATTGGCTAATGAACATGAGTCAAGGCAGATTTTTTTGGCCAGCATTGAGTAGAGGTTTCTTTCCCACTACATCCAACATGAGACCTTCCCAGCATTTTTTCTGTGTTGTGTGGACTAGATATATATTTTTGATGAATCTTTTCAGAGAATAGAGAGGGGACCCAACAAGTCCTGAAAATGAAATAAAAAAGTCTAGCATACTAATTTAGATTGCTCCTGTCTGAGCCCACTATTTTCCTAAACTCTAGAGAAACTCAGAGTGCAAAGCAGTCCTCATGTAAATGGACTTCACATAATTCATAATCAGACTAACTTTATGGAACAGGAAAGAGGAAGCAGGGTGTTTGTGTGTACGTACATGTGGGTGATGGTGCTCCAGAGAGCTTGCATATGCTTATATGCATAAAGGGCTGTGTTAATATGAAAGTGAAGGTGGAATGGGGGCAGGGATGAAGATGGATGCAGAGGAAGATTATTTCAGGCACACTAGCTGGAGAAAAAACGTAATGGCACCCAGAGCAAAACAAGGAAGCTGTGGGTCAACTAAGAGTAGTCCCTTCATACAAGTATCATAGTCGAGACTTTATCTTCCTTCTTCAGATTTTTTTCCTGATAAGATCTCAAGATTAAGGTGTGAGAATCATAGATTCAGATCTGGTAAGAATTGTAAAAGAGCCCCCTCTCCACTCTTCATTTAACAGATGATCTGAGACCCCAAGAGTCATATAGGTAGTGACAGAAATAGGATTTGACCCTAAATCATCTGATGATAAATACAGTGATCCAGCTGTATATCATGATGCCTCTGGAAGAGGAGAGGACAGAGAGAAGAAAGAAGGAATATAACTGTTTTCTGACCTGGAATTAGGGAAGGAAATGAGGTCCTTTAGAAAGGAATTCAGGGGCAGCTAGGTGGCTAAGTGGATAGAGCACCAGCCCTGAAGTCAGGAGGACCTGAGTTTAAACCAGCCTCAGACCAAACACTTGACACTTACAAGCTGTGTGACCCTGTGCAAGTCACTTAACCCCCCCCAACAAAGGAACTCAGAGCACCTGAAGAGGGTGAGCAGGCAGAGGATTCTAGGGTGGGAGACCCACCTCCACTCAGTGTCTCAGTTTCTCCATGATAAAATGAGGTACCTCCCACCAATAGGGCCAGCTCAGAGGGTGAGGGGCTCCTAGTGCCATATGCATTTTCCATTTCCCTGGATTTGGCCACTCCTTTTCTGCCCTGTCAGTGAGTATCATAGAAACTATGGAAAGGAGCCCACATTTTTTGTTGTAGGAGCTTGCACAGTTCCAGAAAGGATGCCAAACTTGGTTCCTTGTGGCAGGATGAGAGCCATTATGGGCACTAACCACCAGCCATCCTCCTAGTTTAACAGGAGAGAGTGGGCAGAGGAATCTGAGCCAATTCTCCAGTTTGGCCACCAGGGGTCATTTTACCCTTAAAAATCACACAGTTTGGAATGACCTCAAAAGGACACACAGAAGACCCTTCATCAAGCAACAATGACACAGAGAGAGAAATACAAAGGATAACATGTTCATAGAAATATACACATAGAGAAACAGAGACCGTGACACAGAGGCAGAAGATACGTGCAACACCTCACTTTACCCTTCTGGTTGGAATTTTCGAGTGGGTGGGTGTTAGTGTGTGGGTGGTATGGCAGTGGTGGCAGGGAGCATGTCAACAATTTAAGAAGCCCAGCATACTCCTGCCTATGGGAGGCCCTCATTCCCCTGTCCCCCCTTCCCTGCCCATTGACCCCTCCCTCCCCCTCCCCCTTCCTTTTCCCCTCTCCCCAGGATAGATTTCTGACATTGGGCATTTCTCCCTTTCATTTCTCCTGTGGTTCTCCTTTCTCTATAAGCTGGGGCAGCCAACAAGCTCCACCCTACTGCTCCTGGCTTTGCCTCCCCACCTCCAAATATCTCCCCAATGATGCAGGAGATTCTACTGTTATTGCCACATTCCTTTGTGTTAAGCATTGCCCTCTCCCTGTAATCCTATTTTTAATCTTTAAATAATGCAGTACCTCGAGTTTGGGGTTGGGGGATCGTGGTCATTGAATAGCTCTCACTTAGGTAAGGCGAAAGAATTGATTAGGTCACTTTTGTTCTCAAAGGCAGAAGAAACGTGGTAGATGAAGGCCCAGGGTATCTGTGTTGGGTGTGGGTGAAAGGAGATCAGGAACTCTGACGACAATTTCTCTGCCTCACAATTTTGCCACAAACCAAGCCTGACCTTGTCTCATTGCCCCACCTCAGAGCTTAGAGATAGATTATTCTAGGCCACACAACAAGAAGGAAATTGACTCTGTAGAGCCTACCTCCAATTTTATTAGTCCTTATGACCACCCCATCCCTCCCTACCACCCCAGCCCTCCAAAACAAAATAAAGGGGTCCAAGGCCCAGTGGCATGAAGAAGCACCACTTGCAGAAAAAATTCTAGTGAGGAGACTTTTCAGCAGGTTGTTCAACTGGGTAATTTCAGGTGGGCTAAATTTAGAACTTGGGCATCCAGGTTTCTCTATCTTTGGGCAGAGGAAGGAGGGAAGGATTTCTCCTCTTCTTCCAGAAAGATGGTTCCATAGCATTCCTTCTTCTTTATACTTATACTTTGTTTGTTCCTGGAAATAAGGGCTAAGATTGAAACCTGAGTCTGGGTACCTGATCTCTTCCCCACACTGCCTTGCTCATTTGCAGTCTCATAATGGGGATGAGAAGGGAGCTGAAGGGAGAAGTTTAGCCAGTGTTTCTGCTCAGGTGGTTGAATCCTTGATGGACTGACTGAATGACTTCTCCAGAGGTGTACGTGAGAGCAGCTCACTGTGAGAGGCATCCTCAAGATTAGTGGAGGCTGTACCACTTTCCCGATGCCCATGTGGTCCTCGAGGCCCGTTGGCAGCTCTGACTTTTACCCATCGTGTAGTTCTCAGGCTTCGAAGGGTATTTCGGAAGCCCTCTGCACTGAAATAGTAGACAAGGGGATCTAAGACGCAGTTGGTACTAGCCAACACTACCAACACCACCAACACCTGGCGTACCCTGTTCTGGACATCGGAGCTGGCATCTACCAGCTTTCCCCGAAGTAGTCCATAAACAGCCAGGGTGGTATTGTAAGGCACAAAGCACAGGAGGAAAATGACCAGGTTAGCCAGTAGAAGGTGCACTGTTTTCCTACGGCGTTCATTCCTGGTGGTACTGGGCCGGGCCAAGGTCCAGAAGACCCGACTGGAAGAGTAGACCATGGTAATCAAGGGCAGTATGAAACCCAGCCCTTCAGCAAGAAGTACCAAGGGCAGCAGCCTGCCCTGCCACAATTTCTCACTGAAGCTCTCAAAACACAGGTAGACAGTGATGTTCTTATAATAGCAGGGTGAGGGGGCATGGACCCAAACAGCAGGCACAGCGCACACCAAGATCAAGGCCCAGACACCCAGGCAGAGTAATCTTGCCACCATAGGCCGGCGTAGGTGGCGGAGCCGCAGGGGGTGGACGATTGCAATGTAGCGGTCCATATTGACGAGGGCCAAGAAAATGCAGCTGCCATACATATTCATCTGGAAGGCAGCCCCTGCTGTCTGGCACAGCAGGGCTGGGAAGGGCCAGTGGTGAAGGGCATAGTAGGATAGACGTAGGGGCAAAGAAAGGGTAAAAAGCAGGTCACTAGCTGCCAGGTTACACATGTAGACACTGACCACTGAGTGGACTTGTAGGGCTCGGAGGAAAATCCATAGTGCCAAGGCATTGAGGGGTAGACCGGCAGCAAGCACCAGACTATAGCCCACCATATATAGGCGATGGTTAAAGCGGTAGTCAGGGCACGTGGGGATAGTGGTATCGGAGGTGTTGGCCAACATTTCCCCAATTGATGGGCTAAGCTAAGTACATTATCCCTCACGCTGGGCAGGAAGGGCCAGGTACGACCAAGATGGAGTATAGGGAACAGGGAGAAGCCAGATATTCCAGTGCTCCTCTTTTGTTACAATGGGGACCTGAAATGTGAAAGGAAGCCCAAGTTCAATAGCCAGAAAGGACATACAAATATACATATCATGACATACTCAATACCTGAAGCAGGAGCAGGAAGTAGGACTTCTTTCTATTTTTTATTATTATTATTATTATTATTATTTTCAGAAAGTCCTGAAACCATCCCACTACTTTTTCAAGTTACCCTAAATCTGTACCCAGATATAAATGAGTTGACTTCCTCCTTTCTCTAATTGAAATTATACATAAACCATCCTACTTCCCTTTTTTCCTCTTACTTCAAGCCAATGTTTCTTTCACACACATATACAATCTTCTCCCTTATTTCTGAAGTCCTCTGAGCACTTAAGTACTCAGTTTACAACTCCTGGTAGGCTGATGAGCACTCTTTCCATTATATCTCCATAAAGTTTCTCCTATTAGATGGTAAACTCTTGAGGGGTTCATCTACTTTCCTACACTTTCCATTTCCACGGCTTCTAATGCAGTACTCTGCCCATAGAAGGTACTCAATAGAATTTGCTAGGTTGATCAAAACACTAGGACACAATTGTCACATCCTGTCAGAGACATGTTCTGTCCCTTAACCACATCCTATCATCTTCACAAGTGTTATGTCACAAGTATGTAGAAGATTGGGTTCCTGAAAAGCTTTGTATAAATCCAATTTTCCTTCTAACTTCCATTCTAATTGAGAGGACTTTAGCGGCCTTTCCTATAAGAAAGCTACAGTATGTAACACTTTTAAAGCTTAGATAATAATTGTGATGTGCTTAGCACAGTGCCTGGCACATAGTAAGTGCTATATAAATGTTAGTTATTATTATTACATTATTATATTCTGCTACAGTCTCCACAGGCCCTCTCCATCAAGTCATTAATGACTTATAAACACAGTACTTGGCACATAGTGGGCACTTAAATGCTAGTTGATTAGACACATAAATGAAACAGGAGAACTACTATTTTAAAAGCAAAACTAATTTTACCCCCCAATATAATTGCTATGGCAAAGCCCTTCACTGATCTTTTTTTGTATATTGGAATTCTCTGGGTTTTCTGAGCTTTGCCCCTTTCCCTACCTCCCCTAATTCCCTACCCTAGTCTCCCCATTCCTTTCTCTGACTTGATTAGTTCCTAGGGCCCTGCAGTGGGGCAGGTGGGCTCTGTGCCAAGACAAATGGGAAAGAGAAGGAAAACTGAAATGGGTGGGGGAGGAGAAGGGAATAGATCGGGAGCAGCTGAAATCTCCCTCCTCTAACCAACACATCTGGTAAAAAGAGAAGGCTCCGTCTGTACGTATGGAGCGAAGAAGGCGGGGAGGGTGCAGGTAGGAGAATACAGGCCAGAGAACAGAGACAGAACAGCTGCCCCAGTCCTGGGGCCTCATTTCACCAGACACATCTGAAACCAAGGGAAAAAGAGAGACTCACAGGTACAAAGGGAGATGGACACAGGCCCAGTAACAAGGAAATGTACACTTAAACTCATAAACCTAGTAAAATGTATAGACACATTAAACAGGGGACACAGAAATGATCAGTTAGCAAGTATTTATTGAGTGCTTACCCTGTAGCCAGCATTGTGCTAGAACCTGTAAGAGTATATGGACCCTGCCCTCGAGGAGCTTACAAATACACATACATGCATACATACATACATACATACATACACATACATACAAATATACACAGAAAATGCAGCTGATACATATCCTACACAGTAAGGTAGATTTACACCGTCAGACATACTCAATCACCCTGAGAAACTTTCTCCCACATCTCCCATACAGATTCCAGCATGCGGCAACCCCTCCTTTGAATCTCCCATGCTCTCTTCCCTCTACATCTCCCACTTTTACCCCAGGCACAGTCTTCTCACCTGTCCAGTAGGTCCCTGTGCTCCATCTGAGTGCGTTCTGAGCTGGGCTGGGCTCTGCACATTGCTGAGATAAGCGAGGAGGGCAGGGTTGTCCTATGCAGCAGACAGGAAGTATGAGGGAGATAGCACAGGCCCAAGAATTCCTCCATTCCACCCCCCTCTACATTGGGTACCCCATTGGTGGATGGTTATTGGCTGGAGGTGTTGGTGGGGAGGGAAGGAAAAGGAAAAAGAACTTTTGGGCTGAGATGAGGAGCAAGAAGATGTGTGTATACGTCAGAGAGAAATAGAAAATCACTTTGCCCCACTTCCTCATTTCTAATAGAAGTGCCACCACCACATCTCCTACTGGCACAAAATCTCAGAGTCATCCCTCTGGCTCCTTGGCTTCCTCTCCCGAAGTTCATTATCACCACCTACCATTCAGGGGTTCTAGAAGGACTCTGTCCTTCCCATAGCTCCTGGATTTACACCCCTCTCCCCCACAACTTTCTGGATTTCAGTGGTTTGAGAAAATGCTTTGTAAACCTTAAAGTATTATATAAATGTGAATTATTGTTATAATCAGCACATTATGGGAAGGATTACCCTCCTGGAGTTCTGAGACAGTTACCCTCTCTCTAGCTCCATTCTGGATTGGCCTCAGGGAGGAGGGAAGCTACAGAATCCAAATATTCTTAAAGTCTTGATTGCTTACTGGTACCTCACCACCCTGATAGTCAGGAAATTCTTTATTCTGCCAGGCCTCAAACTCTACTCTAGTAAGTTGAAACTATTCCATCTGGTTTGAGTTCAAAGGAAATATAGAACATACACAGCTGTCTACCCACTCTGGCTGGTGTTAACTATCAGCTATCTGTCTGGCCCCCTGAATATCCGGGCCTCAGACACCCTGATGCTCTGCAACAGCAGGTCTGGCTCACAGTACAGGCGCAGATTTTTTTGTAAACCTTCATTCCAACATTTCTGGAAAGCACCCGTATATCACATTCCGCATCTTGTACGAAGAGCAATACATTTGCCTTTTTCCCAGGAGGGGTCTTCAGGATAATGGAGGTGACCTTTTTCATGGGATAGAGAGGTACAGACAGGCTGGGAAAGGACTACAGGGAAAATGAGAGGTAGGATGAAGCAGTGCGAAATGTGTTAGGTCTGCAGTTAGAGGGCCTGGATTCAGTTCTGCTACTTGGGACCTGTGTGATGTGGGGCAAGTCATTTAACTTCTCAACCTCTGTTTCTCCATCTGTAAAATGAAGTGGTTGAACCGGCCTCCGAGGTCAGCTCTACATATATGATCCTGTTAAATGGATCCCTGAGATGGCCTTTGGTTTCACTGATTACTGATTTTTCTGAAGTTGTGAAGAGTTAATCCAACCACCTCATTGTACAGAGGAGACACAGAAGATGTGACTTGTCCAGAGTCATACAACTAACGAGTGTATGAAGCAGGATTTGAACTCAGGTCTTCCTTACTCCAAGTCCAGTGTAATATGCACTGCAACAACCAGCTGACTCCTAGTGAAGTTAAGTCTCATTTCCACTACATCACTCTCCGTATCCCAGGCCCAAACCCTCTGTTCTTTCCAGCCTAAAATTGTGCTTTAGCCCTTCTCTACCTAGAGAAGACATTGTACAAGATGCGGAATGTGATGTATGGGTGCTTTCCAGAAATGTTGGAAGGAAGGTTTACAAAAAATTAGTGCCTAAGATCCATTTATTTCCTTCTCTCGGGCTTAGAGCTAGCCCGAGGCCAGGTTTTTTGTTTTTTTGTTTTCCTAAAGAGGCAACAGAAAGAGCAACTCAGAGGAAGTGAGTCTGAATCTTAGCTCTGGCACTTTCTGTGTGACGCTGGGCAAGTCACTTAATGTTTTGGGGCCTCAGTTTCCTCATCTGTAGAATGAGGATTTTGGATAAGATGATCTCTTAGGTTTCTTCCAGAGAAAGCTTTTAAGTTCCCTAGCTATTCTGACCTCTCTGTTGGCCACCTTGGACAAGGCTCAGCCTCCTGAGGATTGACCTCACCTGCTTTCTGGATGCTATACATACTTCCTAACTCCCTATTTTTAACAGCTCAGACAACGAATAATCAACCAAGAGGAATGACAATTTTGATTCATGAAGCGCGACCTTTGTGAGCATGTGTTTGATATGATGCCCTTAGTAAATGTCAGGTCAGGTCAGCACACATAAAAGGCCCAGCTCAGGACTCAGCCCTTTAAAGAAGCTTTCAGGGGCTCCTCTCTCCCCTGAACACCTGTAGCTCCTCCTGCTGTGCTCCTGGCGCAGTTTAGTGCTCAGATCTCACATGGTTTCTTCCTCCCTCCAAATTTCCAACATCATAGTCCATCTTCACAGCCTTTTTACATTCATTCATATCAGGGAGGAAGGGGAAGAGTCTGTGTCTAGAGATGGATCTGAGTCCCAATGTTTCCATATAGTATGAGGCTGTGTCTCTAAGATTAGTGAATTAGTCTGTGAATACAAGGGTTACCTAGTATAATGGAAAGAGCAAAGAACTTGAATCTAGAAGATCTAGACTTGAGTCCTGTCATTTACTAGTCTTGTGACTATACACAAGTACCTTCATATCTATGAACCTCAGTTTCCTTATCTGTAAATTGGTTGATAATATTTATCCTACCTAGTTCATACGGTTGTTAGGTACTTTGTAAATATAATAAAGTGAAATATAAATATCAACCACTGTGATTAGTCTTTGGGTCTCTGGGTCTCCCCACCTGTCCTTATCTCCATTTTCCCAAAGGTCAGAGTTAAGGAACAAAGTGGCTAAGGGCACAGACTGCAAAAAAAAAAAAAAATTGACTAGCCCTATATACAGACAAGATAGAAAACTACGTACATGTAGGCTTGGACAAGTGCCATAAAACCACGTCTACTCCAAAATCTCGTCCGCATAGTACCTCCCCTATTAGCTACCTTTGAGTTAAGCCAGTATTTTGAGAAGCCTCCTGTTGCACCATAGTTACTGTAGAGGGGTAGCATATTGCTATCAGCCCAGGTGACAACAAAGATCTTAGGGGAATACAACAGACAAGTGAGCTTTTGACTAGGGACAAAGAGATGGTAGGAAAGTATAGGGCACTGACTCAGGAAAATGGAGCTGGGTGGGGCAATGCTAGTTGAAAACTCTGAGAAACCTAAAAGGCTGCTAAGGAATGTGGGCATTAAGAAGAGTATAGAAGTAGGGAGTTGGGACAGGGAACTCAAAAGAACTATGCCTAGTTAAGAGACCCAAGAGAGGAGACCCTGGGCCATAGAAGGGGTTTCCTAGTGAGGAGTTTCCTGGATATAGTTCTCAAAACTCTGGGGCCTGACTCCATTCATCTATGAATGGTGGTTTTGGTTTGAGTTGTATTTCGTTCGGATACATTCTCAGGGGACAGAGGCCATCATCCATCACCTTCCCCAATCACTCCCATTCCTAGGGGGTCTGTGTGTACTACTATGGGGTTCACCCCACCCCTGCCAGTGACACCCCCATACCTGTATTCACCACTGCTCTGCCGATACCTGGTGCTTGCTTCCGCTGTACTCTCCAAGCTGGGCTGGTAGGACCTGCTCTAGAAGCAGGTTTAAACACACCCACCCTAGCATATCCTGGCATGTCCTTTTCCTGTTCCCAGCACATAACTGATCCCAAGCAGGGGGGAAGGAGAGACACACACAGAGACACGTTTAGATGCATTCACAGGAATAGATACATGCACACACAAGAATAGATACATGCACACACAGGAACAGATACATGCAAACAAAGGAATGGACACACGCAGAAATAGATAGGCACACATAGACCTGCCTCTCCTTGCCCATCAAGCGATGTTTTTCCCGCCTTCAGATAACTCCTCCACATAAGTACTTTTTTTTTTTTTTTTCTGGGAAGACTTCCTGACATACCCACTTTGCTGACATCAGATGAATAATAATCATTGCTTCTGCTTCTCTTTGCAGTTGCCCTTCTTTGGATCCGTAAGATCACTCAGCACATGAGGAGGACTCACGTTTACCCAGTGGCCCTTAGACTGTTGGTACCCAGGAAATGTCCAAGGGTAATAAAAGGAGTCACACCAATATGCACACAATAAGGGTGGGACAACAGTCCATTGAGGAGGCTGGGCAAATGTCAGGGCAGAGTTTCTTAGAGGAGGGCTTTCTTTGCCTTGGGGAAGGGGTAAAATATGAGCTCCCTGAAAGGTAAATGGAACAATGTTTGTCCCCTACCTCAGCTCCCACGGATTCAATCATTCCTTTATGTAAATGATTCCTAGATATATTTACCCAGCCCATTCTTTCTATCCTGAGCTCCAGTCTCTCATCCCTAACTGCCTAACATATATTTCGAACTGGATATCCCACAGCACAGATATCTCAAACTCAACATGTCCAAAACGGAATTCTTAGCTTCCCCTCCAAACCCAGGTCTCGTGTAATTTTAATCTATGGCCAACAGATGTCTCTGGTATCTGTCCCCTTTATTCTGAGAGACAGAGAGAGAGAGACAGAGAGATGGCCTCCTTATCTTGTCCATGCTGGAAGCTCAGGGCAGGGTCCCACTCTAAGTTTTGATCTGGTCCATTTACAATCAGCCCCTCAAGCAACTTGGTGGTCCTCAGCTGGAAGGGGGCTCACTGGATTAATGGTAAATTGAATTCAGACTACCTCTCAGTACAGTTTACTGGAGCTCAGATCCACCAGCCTAAGAGCTGGGATTACAGGTACCTGCCACCATGACCAGCCCTCTGTGTCCTTCTTGCCAATCACAGTGCTACCTGCTAACTACTAGGTTAGGCCCTAATCATTTCTCAGCTGGATTCCTGCAGTGGACTCCTGCTTGAGGTCTCTGCTTGTTTTAATCCATCCTCCACACATCTGCCAAAGGGATTTTCCTAAAGCACAAGTCTAACTAACCATGTCCCCCTCTCCCCCACACTCACTAAACTGCAGTGTCTTCCTGTTTTCTCAGGATCAGATAGAGACTCCTCTGTCTGGCTTTTAAAACTGTTTGCAAGCTAACCCCTTCCCATCTTTCTGGACTTTGTCTAGAATGTCCTCCACAATCCAGCTACACTCTGCGATTAATTATTCCTCATACAAGACACCGCCATCTCCAGCCTCCATGCCTTTGTACTCATTGCCAGTTCCCCCCTTCCACCTCCCCCCTACGTCCCCCCCCCACCGAAGGGCCTGGAAATACTCCTCATTTCTGACCCTTAGACCCTCTGGATTCCTTTAAGACTCAGTTTAAGAGACCCCTCCTTCAGGAGGCCTTTTCCAATTCCCACAGCAGCTAGTGCCTTCCCTTCTCAGACACATGTATTGATCTCACATGGACTGATTTACAGATTGTCTTCCCCTTTAGGATGTAAACTCCTTGTATCCCTAGTGCTTAGCCCAATGCCTAGTTTATAGTAAGTGCTTAATAAATGCTTCTTGATTTATTGATTACATAGAAGACCCTGGAGACTCCAGCTACCCAGATGTGGGGACGCCTTTAGGCACCAGAGATGAGCAACATTCTTAACCACTGGATCAGTGGGATCCAAGATCTGCATTAATCACACTCTCCAAATTTGCTTACACTTTCAACTTCCAATGGCAGGAAGTTGCTTCCTTTATACCCCATAGACGAGACAGGTTTTTCCTCTATAACCCAATTATACAACATGGGGCATAGGTTTCTCAGGATTTTTGTGCAGTGCTAGGACAAAGGGATCACAGACAAAATTGGATCCAAGATTGAAAATAAAGGCTTTATTTACAGGCACCTTTTTGGGGAGTACAGGTATAAGGCAGCTAGAATTCCTTATTATAACAGCAAATGTCCTTCTCTGTTGCCTCATTCCCAGGGACAATGTGAGAGTGGGGTCAGGGGCCAGATGACAAGAGCCTGGGAGGGCTGGACTGGCTGAGGCCAGCCTGAGGGTCTAAGATCTCTCCAAGGGGTCCAAGAGGGATAGTGTATTTGAAGGAATGAGGCTGGAGAAGGGGTTGGGTGTGGGAAAAATTTAGAGAATGAAGAACACTGGGGCAGATCCAAGGGACCATAACCTCTGATATTCTTTGGTTTCCAAGTTCATCCCCCTTGGCCCAGGGTTACACTGTTAAACTCCCGGCTCCAGAGCAGTATAGCCTCTTCGCCTTCAGCTATGTTCAGTACTGAATATGTCTCATTCTTTAAACATCCCAGGCGGAACACCTTTGTGGATATTATAGAAGGAAGAGAAGGATATGGGACAGCAGGATGCAAGATGGAGGAGAAGGAATAGAACTGAACTCATAGAATGCTTGAGCCGTAAGGCACCTTTGAGATCATCTATCCAGTCATCTTCCAGATGAGGACATTGAGGCCTGGACTTGCTTAAGGTCACATAGATAATAGTCAAAGGACCAGGATTAGAACCAGGTTTCTTAACTCCCAATCCAATGCTTTCACCACTATACTTAACTGCTTCCACTAACCCTCTCTACTGTCTTATCCCATTTCTCATCTAGGAAATGCCTTGTTTTTTCCTAAGAATTAGGGAGTCAATGAAGAGGCTCTGGATGGAGGCTTGGAACAAAAAAAAAGGAAAGAGGTATGTGTGGAGAGAACTATTCTCTGCTTTCTAGCAATTCTCAGAAGATCTCACAAGAGACTAGCCTGCTTGGGGTGGGGGCAGGATTTGGTCATGGGATGAGGCCTACATCGGGGTAGGGCAAATCCAGGATGGACTCACCTTCTTGGACTGGTTACGAAGCAGACACTGGTAGCTTTTAAAAGCACAGTAGTTGGGGTACTGAATATGGTCCGAGTCACAGATCTAGACCAGGAGTTGGGGATAAGAAGGTAAGGGGGTAGAAGAGAAATGACAAATCACATTTCCATAATAAAAATCACAGATGATGAAACTGAGACAAAGAAAGTTGAGATAACTTGCCAATCCATGGTCATTCCAATGATAAGTGTCAGAGCCAGGGCTTATACTCTAATTCCCTTATATCTGATTCCAAATCCTACGCTCTTTCCACACTATCACACTGCCTTCTCTAGCGGAAAGAGAATTCAGTGGTGATCTAGTAACTCACACCTAAAGAATGAATCCCTTTAAAACATCTCTGACACCTAGCCTCTCCTTGAAGACTTCTACTAAATGGGGAAACCACTCTCTCCTGGGACAGTCCATTCCACTTTTGAACAGTTCTAATTGTAGGGCAGCTAGGTGGCACAGTGGATAGAGCTCGGGCCCTGGAGTCAAGAGGACCTGAGTTCAAATCTGGCCTCAGACTCATGATATTTACTAGCTGTGTGACCTTGGGCAAGTCACTTAACCCCGATTACCTTGGGGAAAAAAAAAAGTCAGACATGACTGAAACAACTCATCAACAAAAATTGTTGGAAAGATTTTCCTTATGTTGAGCAAGAGCTGTCTCTCTGAAACTTTTACTTATGAATTCTAGTTCTGCCCTCTACTAGGGTTTAAGTATAACAAGCTTAATTCCTTGTTTTTAACCATGGTTCTTCAAATATTTGAAGATATATATTCCTTCTAAGTCTTCATTTCTCCATGGTAACCATACACAGTCCCTTTAACTGATGTTTATAAGACATGTCTTCCAGTCTCCTTACTCTACTTAGGACAGAGGTGGGGAACCTTCAGCCTCAAGGCTGAAAATATTCAGTCCTTTGACTGAATCCAAACTTCACAGAACAAATCCCCTTAATAAAAGGATTTGTTCTGTAAAACTTGGACTCAGTCAAAAGGCCACACCCAAGGACCTAGAAGGCCACGTGTGGCTGCAGGTTCCCCACTCCTGGTAGGAGTTCCCTAATCTGGTTCAATGGTTAGAATGCTGGACTTGAATGAATATTGACTCTGACACTTAGAAAATGGGTGACCCATAGCAAGTCATTTAACCTCTCTTGAGTCTTAGTTTGTTCATCTGTAAAATGATATCAGAGATGGCACCAGACTCCAAGGGTTGTCATAAGGACCAAATAAAATGATACAGAGGAAGTGCTTTGTTAAATATCAGCTATTAGGATCACTGAACCTTGTGGGACAGCCAAGGTAAATGGGATTGTTTCCATTTTACAGATAAAGACACTAAGGCTCAGAGAAGTTAAGTAAGTTGTACAATCAAACCTATGTCCCCTGACTCCATGTCTAGCCCCTTTCTCCCTTTACCATTGCTGCCTGTCAACACATAGACTCCAGCAAATATAAATGACAGAAAAAGAATCCAAAAAGATCTTGAGGAGCTTAAGTAATGGGTCAAATATAATGGGATAGCACAATTAATTAGATTAACATATTAATAGAGATAAATATAAGGTCCTACCCTTAGGTTGGCATCAGTTGTATGAATAAAGAATGGGGGAACACGTGGCTAGAAAATAATTTACATGGAAATGAGTTGGGTTTTCTAGTGCACTGCAAATTCAGTATGTCAACACTGTGATACACATCTTTGGAAAGAATCTGGGAACCCTCAATGTGGGGATTCCTTCCATCAACAGAGATGGCAAGATCTGTGCTTGAGAGGGGCAGCCTCTGTCAAATCTTGACAAAATTTTTTGTTTGTTTGCTTATCTGTCATCTCTTTTAAGCCTTACACAATAACACTCTGAGATAGGGACTATTATCCCCATTATGCCAAAGAGGAAACTGTGATTCAGGGATAATAAGTGACTTGATCATGATTTCAGGCTAGAAAGTATCTAAGGTGAGATTCAAGTCCTATACTCTATTCACTAGGAAAGTGCTGAATAAACCTTAAGACTTTTCAAATGTGAGCTATTATTAGCTATTGCTCCCTTTCATTTTCATATTTGATAAATAAAGCATGACACCCATCCAGTATCTATATAACTGAAAAAAAAAAACAACAATGAAGAACAGCACAAAGCCCCAGTAGCATACTTAGCTAATATCCTCCCCATTTTGATCCTAATTCATTAATCACCACTGTTCACTTAACCAGTTCCAAATCCACCTAAACATAATATCACTTAGATCCTCTTTTCATCTTGTCCACCATGTACCATCATTCTCACTTTCTTAGAACATCGTCCCTCAAAAGTGTCACAGGAAGTGGTATATGAAGGACTTGAGAAATGGGCCTTCAACAAAGGTCATCCTCCTTTGGTGTGGAAATTGGGGTTAAGCGGCTTGCCCAGGGTCACACAGCTAGTAAGTGTCAAATGTCTGAGGCTCAATTTGAACTCAGGTCCTCCTGACTCCAAGGCCGGAGCTCTATCCATTGTGCTACCTCACTGCTCCTCCTCTAATTCTATACACACCCTTGCTCACACTCCAAAAGACTATAGGTCCAAAGCACCTTCTTCTCTTCTCTCACCCAGCTCTCAGTCTCTAGGTCCCAATAATAATAGCCCACATTTATAGAGTCCTTCTCATACATGGTTTCATTTGAACCTCATGACAAGGTTGTGAAGGAGATAGTGCTAGTTATTATTACCCCTATTTTACAGGCCAATAAACTTGTCTAAAACTAAGGGGTGGTAGACAGAAGAGTCAATAATCTGTCTCCAAGTCTAATGCTCCTTCCATTGTACTAAGCTCCTCTCACTGACAGTCCAATTGCTAGGGAGAAGGACCAGAAGCCAAGAAAGGTGAGAAGTGGCTACTTGGGGATTCTCTTACTGGGGAAGTGGCTAGAGTAGGCCATATAAGGAGAAGGGATTAGGAATAGAAGTGGTGGTGGTGACGGTCTCCAGTAAGGGGATGGGGTGTTGGGGGTACTTCACAGTTCTTGTTCTAGTCCAGAAAAAAAAAAAATCAAACTGGGAGGGGAAGACTCTCTAGTTTTCTGGCTAAAACAGAAATAATTCCTATTTACCCTCACTCTGAATCAATCAGGGCCCAAACAATGACCAAGTGGGGTTTGGTCTGGGGCCTATTCTTGGCCAATCAATGAGATTGCTGGCCTTTCAGTGAGAGGGTTCATGGTACCTACTGGAGAAGAGACAGCCTATCTTTCTGGAGAGGATGAAAAGGTGGAAGTTAATCAGTGTCTCTGATTAACAGCTAAGGTCTGAGTAATGGGGCAATTACTAATCCCCTCTTGGCCTCCCTATTCTTCCTTATGCTTCTCTTTCTCTTGCTGAACTCATAGTAGGAGGGAGAGGAGAAGTATCCACATGGTAGGATTAATATGTCTGGTAGAAAAAAAGGATGATTTAGGAAAGTAGGGCGAGAGTTGGGTCAGTGATATGAGGAAACAGAATACTAGAGGAAGAAGGGGAAAAGGAAAGGAGGCAGAGCATGGTATAATAAACAGAGAACTGGACTTGTAGTCAGGAAGAACTGGGCTCAAATCCTGCCTCAGACATTTACTAGCTGTGTGACTCTGGGAAGGTCACAACTTCAGTTTCCTCATTTGTAAAATAAGGAGATTGGACTTTACAGTCTTGTGGGCCTTGATAGTCTCCTCCAACTCTAAATTTATGATCTTAGGAGTCTGTATAATAGGATTTTAGAACCAAAAGAGATTTCTGAGATCATCTAGTCCAAATCATTCATTTTCCAGATGTGGAAACTAAGGCCCAGGATAGTTAAGTGACGTGTCTAAGGTGAAACAGTTAGTTAATGGCAGAGCTGGCAAAAGCCCCAAGTTCAGTAAACGTTCTACTATTCTATGACTCTGCCTCTCCTTTCAAGTACGGGAGTTAATCTTCTCATTCCTTTGGGAAAGGGAGGTTGCGTGAAGTGAAGAAAGAGCAGCTCTTTTGTTTCCAAGGTTATTGAGCCAAATTAAAGATACTAAGGTCACATTGTGAGGGCTAGATATAGAACCCAAATCTCGCCCCTTCTTTAAACCATAGGCAACTAACAATAAAGCATATTGGAAATGCTCTAAATTTGGAAAAAGACTTGAGTCTAAATCTACCTCTGTTACTCTGTAGCAGTGGACAAATCACTTAACCTATGTGGGCCTTATTTCTTCAGTGGCTCTTTTTTCTCAAAAAATCAAGAGTCTGGACCAGATGATCCCTAAGGTACCTTTCTTTTTTTTTTGCTTTTTTTTTGTTGGGCAATGGGGGTTAAGTGAATTGCCCAGGTTCACACAGCTAGTAAGTGTGTTATGTGTCTGAGGTGGGATTTGAGCTCAGGTCCTCCTGAATCTAGGGCCTGTGCTCTATTCATTACGCCACCTAGCTGGTGCAGGGAAAAGTTCTGACCTTGGAGGGGTAATCTCCATCCTGGAAAGAGAGGAACTCAGTCTGTAGCCATTTGGAGACCCAGGTGTCCTCACAGCCTTTCGTGGCCAGCTGACCACACCAGAAGTCCATGCGAAGCCCCCTATACAACTCCAGGCCATAATACTGGCCCTGTATTACAGGGCCCACCTGCAATACAGTGTAAATATATTCGTCTCCTCCTTAAACCTTCTCAGCACTGCCCCAAGGCCATGATCTTACCTCCCCAAAAAAGCCCCAGAGCTATGATTATCCTGAGCAATGAGTTCCCTGTGGTCATGGCTGCCTAAATTAGGTACCTGTACGTCTGTGATGACATGCTGGCCAGAGAGCAGGGGGCTGAGAAACTCTGCATTATGGGTTTCACTGCAGGGCTCCCGCTTCAGAAGTACCTCTGACTGGCATTGCTCTAGCTTCAGGGAGCAGAATGCACAAAATTGGCAAGTGTCCATGTGTCGTCGCCCAAAGCTATCACACACCTGGAGGCAGAGAAGGCAATGAAAGAAGAAATACTGGGCTATAGTCTCCCTCTCCCATCCAAGAACAACCTTTGGGAATTAATTCTAGATGTAAATACCTTACAAAAGAGGAAGAAGAAAAATATGCAGTTAAATGGGCAAGGACAAGTAGGGAGACAATAAAACTAGATCCAAGTCTCAGGTTCCCTGGAATGGGATCCGGATTCTCTGGATATCAGAGGTAAGGTTCAGGGTAAGGGGAGGAAAAGAGGAGAACTGGATCAGTAAATGCCAAGAAGAAAGGTGCACAGCTGGATTCTAAGACTAGAATCTGGTCTCATCAATTTAGGGATCTGAACAACCAAATTGAAGTCCCTGCAAACTCTGGAATGGTTGTCAGGTTAAGAGGTCTTTACCTTTCATTCACAAAGTTATGAAAGGAAAAACCCTTTACAGAAAAAGGGAAGAATCAGAAATTAATTACTTCATAGCCTAGCACAATGCATTGTACATAAGAGGCACTAAAAATGATGTCTGTTGAATGCAATTTTAAAAATTGGATGCCACATTGGAGAGGGCATAATAGGGTAGGCAGAATGGGTAGGAGTTAATAGACAGAGGCCATCCTCCATATTTTACAGTGCTGGTCACACTAAATACATTCCTGCTCGATCAAGCTGAATTGAATACCATGTTCCCGACGCCATAAATCTGTTCTTCAATATGTTGCCAGATTTTGGTCAATGGGTTATCAGGGCAGCTGCTTGAAAGGATTGCGTAACACAACACCCACAGGGCCTCCTCTCCAGGCACAGAGAGAAGATTTGAGGAAGATATCTGAGCAGTGTGGGGGTAAGTTCTGTAGACAGAAAGACATATGCACCATAACACAAAGACAAAAGGCAGCAATGAGAATTAAAAAAAAAAAAGAGTAAAACATATACCCATATTTTTCCTTCCATCAGCCACCCAACACAAGGCCACAAACCTAACTCCTTGAAAAGAACCTTAGAGATCATTTGATCCAACTCTCATTTTACAGATGAGGAAACTGAGGGTAGGAAAGCTGAAGGTTGCAGAACCAGAACTAGAATCCAGATTTTCAGCCTTTCAGGTTCAGTGTATCTTCCACTGAAATGAATGGGTACATGACCCTTCTCCCTCTTGCCCATGCCAATAGTGCCTACAAAATCAGGTCGGGTAAAGGCAGAGTAAGGGTGAGACAATAAATTAGCTTCAGAAGTCCTGGTGGATCTGAAAGAACTCAGGCTTGGCCTGGGGAGGTGAGACTGCTACACGAATCTACAGAATGGTATTTGAGGGAACCTCTCATTATCTTTTACCTTCCAGAAGAATCCTCTTCATCAACTTGGGGGGTCACTTTCTGGCCCCTCAGAGACTGGGCTGATTGAATGAGTTCCCTGATGCCTTCCAGCACTGCAGAGCTAGCATCCTCCTCCCTCATCTGGTTGGTAGAGGGGCCATTGGGAGATCTTGTGTGAGCCTCCCTCCTCTTCCCTTCCAAGGAGAGGGAGGGCTGTAGTAGCTGTTTTGTGTCTGTGTGAAGCTGTTCATACCAGGTTTTAGGGTTCAGCCTATCTGCTGCCATGGAGAAAGAAAGAGAGGAGAAAAGAATGGAAGGGAGGAAACAATTAGGCAGGGCAGCCTCTGAAGATTTCTCTCCCCTATTTCAGGCTCATGCTGACAATATACTATTGACTATACTCACATTCACCTGAACATTTCCATGTGCATATAGGTGCACAACTAAATATATAGGTAGAAATAAACATAGACTGAATCAGATACATACATTCATAGATGTAAAAAGCATGGGTTCAAAAAAAAAAGCATGGGTTCAGAAATGTGTTAAGTACAGAAACAAATACTATTGTTAAAATAAAATAATTTAAAATTTAAAAATACATATTCCACATAGGACATGAAAATTGGCAAACTGGTAGTGAGAGGGAAGTACTGTTTTTGATACCATCCCACCACCCCTAGCACCATTCCCCTCTTTCTTCCTTAACCCCTGCTTCCCTATCACACCAACACCACCATATTTAAATTAAAGAATGTTGGAGCTATAAGGGAACTTTGAGACTATCTAATTTAACCCAGAAGAGGAAACTGAGTACAAAGGGAGACAGAAGGACTCAAACCAGGAAGCATAACGTAGGTCTTTAGACCCCACGTGACCAATGCACTTAAAATTAGAAAGGAAGAAGGTAACTGGGGAAAATAGAACAAAACAAAAACTTTTGCTGCATATTTCTGTGGTAAAGGTTTTATATCCAAAATATATTGGGAGCAGATGGAAATTTATAAGAATAAGAGTCTTTTCCAAATGATAAATGGTCAAAGAACACGAACAAGTAGTTTTCAGAGGAAGAAATCTAAGCTATCAGTAGCCTAATTTTAAAATGCCCTAAATCATTAAAGTACAGAAATGAAAATGTGGGGTTCTACTTCACTGCCATAAGATTGGCAAAGTTGACAAAAAAAAAGGAAAATTACAAATGCTGAGGGATTATGGGAAAACAGGTACATTAATGCAGTTTTAGCAGCACTATGAATTTTGCAGTCATTCTGCAAAAGCAATTTAGAAATATATCCCCAAAAGTTATTACACTGTGCATATTCTTTGACTCAGCAGTACCATTCCTGGGTCCATAAAAGAGAGATCAAAGAAAGTAGAAAAGGACTCATCTGTAAAAGAAAATAAAATATACACATACACATAAGTTGTGTGTGTGTGTGTGTGTGTGTGTGTGTGTGTGTGTGTGTGTGTGTG